GAGAAGAAACAGGGAGGAGGGAATTTGAGAGAGAAAATTGGGAAGATATTTGAGGTGAGGAAGAGATTTTGCGAAGGAGATAAGTTACGAAGATAAATGAATTAGGTGAGAAGGCCAGAAGGAAAATGGGAGAGGGAAAATAGGAAGAGGAATAAAAGAGGTGAGGAAGTTAGAAGGAAGAGGGGAGAAAATTGAAGGAGGTGAGAGAAAGATGGGAAGGGAAGTGAAGAAAGCGAGCAGGTAAGGAAGTTGAGAAAAAATAGGAAGAGAAGTGAAGGTAAGGAAGTAGGGGTGATGGTAGGAGGGAAAGAATTGAAAGAGAAATGGAGGAGGTGAGGAAATTAGGAAAGAAGTTGAGACGGATAGGAAGAGAAATGAAGGGGGAAGTTCAGAAGGGAAAACAGGGAAAGAAGTGAAGATGAGGATACGAGAGGAAAATAAGAAGAGATGTAAAGGAGATGAGAAAGCTAGAAAGAAGCTAAGATGCAAAAAATATGACAAGAAAAAGGGAAGAGAAGTTAAGGAAAACATCTACTAAAAGTAAGTTTGGAAGAAGATGAATGAGAGAACGGTATCGAAATTCTGGGATTTAATCGTGTTAAGACTTCGATACTGTTTTTATTTCCCCCCCAAAAGAACCACATTTTCCAATCAATGGATCATCATAATTAAGTATTTGGTTATTCAAGGTTTTGGCTAGTTTGTTTAATTAGTTTTTAGTAATCTCGTCATTACTACCATACAATTAAATACGAAAATAAACCATCCTAGTGTCTACGTCCATCCCTGTAAAATTCCCATGATATATTCCTCCAGGGGATTGCCCGCCTGGGGGAATGCACAAAGAAGAACCAAAGCACACAGTGACAAACCCAAAATCAATCTCATAAAAGATACATGCTCCATAGTGTCTAAATTCCCATGCGTATTCCTCGGGGTAATCGCCCAGCTGTCATAGACAAACAAAAACACACTAACAGTTCCATTGCGATCCTCCCCCCCCCCCTTGCGACAAATCCTCGTGGATATAACCCTATGTCTGACCCCCAACCGGTCCTTCCCCTTGTATATTCCCCCAGGTAATCACCCCCACCTGGGAACAAGCAAAAAAAAAAAAAAAAAAAAAGAATAAAAAATAATAACAACTCTCACCCCCACGATAACCCCATTACAATCCCCATCCCATCAACAAAACGTCTTGAAAATAATCCTGTGTCTAACCCCGGTGTATTCCCCCAGGTAATCGCCCCCACCTGGGAACGACAAGCAAAAAAAAAAAAAAAAGGAATAACAACTCTCACCCCACGATAACCCCACTACAATCCCCCCATCAACAAAACGTCTTGAAAATAATCCTGTGTCTAACCCCCGCCTGCCCCTTCCCCTTGTATATGTCTAAACCCCAACCGGCCCTTCCCCTTGTGTATGTCTAAACCCCAACCGGCCCTTCCCCTTGTGTATTCCCCCAGGTGATCGCCCACCCGGCCGTGCAGCGCTACCTCACCGACGTGTGGATGGGCAGCCTGGACTGGCCCAACTGGAAGATGAGCGCCGTTTTCTTCGCTTTTCTACTCCTGCCTCCCGTCTGGATTTTCTTTAGGTGAGGCCGTTTTCTGTTTTCTCTTTTTCTTTCTCTTTCTTTTTCTCTTTCTCTTTCTCTTTCTCTTCCTTTTTCTCTTTCTCTTTCTCTTATTCTTTCTCCTTGTCTTTCTATTATTCTTTCTCTTTCTCTTTCTCTCTCTCTCTCTCTCTCTCTCTCTCTCTCTCTCTCTCTCTCTCTCTCTCTCTCTCTCTCTCTCTCTCTCTCTCTCTCTCTCTCTCTCTCTCTCTTGTGTGTATGTCTAGCTTTTAATTTACCTATAGATCTCTTATCTTTACTCTCTGTTCTAATCTTTACTCATGGAATTCTAACAGTCATATACGTTAAGCCTAGATGAAGTAATAGTAATATCAACGAAATCTAATTTTCTTTTATTAAGGATTACTCTTTGCGTTTCTAAAGTTTATCTATTTCGAGCTCTTCTCTTGAACATTAATAAAGGACGGTTTATTTTATTGTTTATCTATACTTATAAAAACAAAGTGTGTCAATGCTAACTGAGAGTAATGTTTATTAATGTTTTTTTTATAACGAAGCATCATTATCAGTATTACATTATTAATGGTATTAATGGCTTATTTTCCCCTTCTCAGCATGCCCCTTGGACACATGTATAACGAAGTCCCCATCGTTAAGTTCCTCGCCTATCTGGTCTCCCACGTCTATATGCTGCTCCTCATGATAATTACTACAGTCACCCCTCTTAGTCCGATATGGGAGAATACGAGCCTAATGCCTAACTGGTAGGCCTAGGCTGTTTGTGTTTTGTTGTTTACGTGCGTTTTTTGTTTGTTTGTATGTGTCGTTGTTTTTGTGTGTTTGTTGTTTGTATTTGTTTATGTGCTTGTTTATATTGGTTTTGCTGTTTGTATTGTGTTGTTTATATTTGTGTGCTTTATATGTGTTTATTTATATTGGTTTTGCTGTTTGTATGTGTGATGTTTTGATTGTGTTGTTTATATCCGTGTATTGTTGTTTATATGCGTGTGTTTATATGTGTGTTGTTGTTTATATATGCGTTTATGTGTGTGTTGATTATGTGTGTGTTATTGTTTATATCTGCATTTTGTTGTTTTTTGTTTGTACTGCTGTTGGCCTGATAATAAAGATATTCAGAGTTTCGGGGTTATATATGGAACAGGATTTGAATGGAAATTGGTATCTTCTTTTAGTACAAAGCAGAGTTGAAATAAAATGAAAGGACGATACAGCAAGTAAAACCCACAAAAAGAACAACAACAGCAAAAAACAACAGAGATAAAAATAACTAATATAAACAAGTAAACCAACGTACATTATAGTTTATTTGTTTGTAAATGAATTTTCTTCTCACCCCTCAAGAACAGTACCATTAACAACAAAAAAAAACAAATAAACCAATAATTTGAAAATAAAGAAAGGCTTAATGATCCCCAAAACATCGTGTTTATTTATCTATATAATGTCGATCCCTTTCGCAGTTATGAATTAGTAAAAAAGGGAAAAGAGAAAAAATGACTACTGATTTCTAATGATTCTTGTCTTTTCTCTAAGAAGATGAAAACAAAATCTTTTACCTGTTTCTCATAATTCCCCCTTTCTTTTCTCCTTCGTACGAATTATTGAAGAAGGAAAAGAAGAAAGAAATACCTCCTTGCTCTTTAGGTATTGAGGAGAGAGAGAGAGAGAGAGAGAGAGAGAGAGAGAGAGAGAGAGAGAGAGAGAGAGAGAGAGAGAGAGAGAGAGAGAGAGAGAGAGAGAGAGAGAGAGAGAGAGAGAGAGAGAGAGAGAGAGAGAGAGAGAGAGAGAGAGAGAGAGAGAAAGAGAAAGAGAGAAATGTATTATTTTTTCCTTACTTGTTTCTCATAGTTCCCCCCTCACCCCCCCCCCCAGGTACGAATGGATGCTTCTCCTGTGGCTGAGCGGGAACCTGGTGATGGAGCTGACCAACCCAGGGGACATAGCCGGCCTGGGGTGGATCAAGGTGTTCGTGTTGGTGTTCTCTGGCTTCGGCGTCCTCGTCCACCTCATCGGGTTCTTCTACCTGGGCGAGACGGACTTGCTGCTCGACATGCTCTATATTAGGTGAGGAGAAGGGAGGAGGGAGAAGGGTTGTGGGGTGGGGGAGGAGCGGAGACGGGGTGGGGGGGGAAGGTGGGGTAGAAGGGAGAGGGTAGACATGGAGGCGAGACGGGGTGGGGGGGAAGGTGGGGAGAAAGGGGAAGTGAGAAAGCTAGGGGAGAAAAGGGAGGGAGGGAGACGGTGGGGGGAAACGTTGGGAAGAAAGGAGAGGGTAGACAGGGAGGGGAGACGGTGTGGGGGGAAGGGAGAGGGTAGACAAGGAAGGGGGGAAACGTGGGGGAGAAAGGGAGGAAGGACACAAGGATGGTGGGGAGGTGGAGACGAGGGAGATGGTAGACAGGAATGGGAGACGGGTGGGGGAAAAGGAGAGGGTTGGGGAAAAAGGGAGAGAAGGGAAGAGGGAAAGAGCAACACAGAGGAAAGGAAAAGCAGGGAGGTGAAGAAAAGGGAAGGGGGGAGAGAGAGCGAAGATGGAGAGAGAAAGAGAAAGGGAAATGCAAGGGGGGGGGTGCAGAGAATGGGAGGAGTAAGAGGAACAAGAGAATGACAAAGTGGGGGAGGATAATAGGAATGAACGGAGAATGGAGATGGAAAGGGAAGGAAGTAGAGAGGGAGGCGGAAGGATGAGTGAGGAGGATGAGGATAAGGAGAGGGGAGGTTGGGGAAGTTGAGGGGATTTACGAGATGGAGAGGAGGGAGGGGGAGGAAGAGGAGGGGTGGGGGGGGGTAATGATTTGAAAAAGGAAAATGATGATAAAAGTGAAAAATGATTGGTATGGCAATAATTTTTGATTATAATACTGATAATGATAAAGAAAATGATAATAATCACCATATATCAAAGAAACAATTTAAAATATTGATAATGATAACAGCAGTAATAAAGATGATAATGTTGATGATCGTGATAATGATGATCATAATGATGATAATGAAACTGAAAATAATAACATCAATGATAACAATGACAATTATCAAGGTAGTAATGATGATGGTGATGATGACAAACAGTAATACCAAACAATAATTATATAATGATAATAAAAATGTTGAGAATAGTAATGGTGATAATAATGATGATGATTATGATACTGATAATGAAAATGATAATAATGATAATGATAATATTAATTAACGATGATAATTATAATAATGATTACTATCATTATCATTATAACAATAACAAAAAACAACTACCAAACTGCCTACAGAAAAGCAATACAGAAAAACACCCACACATAACACACAAAAATCGCATCCCTAACCACACACCCCTCCCTCCTCCCCATACCCCCTCCCCACCTCCCTCCCCTCCCCCGTCCTCCCACAGGAACAACCT